ATAAAGGTGACAAAAACCTCCACTGGATAAAGCTAAATAGGTATTTATAGACAAATTTAGAATGTTAAATACAAATAATAGTCAAAAAAGAAAGGTTGAAAGTCCATTATCTAAGATTTCATTTCAAGAAGCTAGAATAAAGAACAATGAATCTAATCCAAATAAACACAAGAAAATAAAGGAGCATGAATCAATGAAAAATACTTGAGCTGTATAATACTTGAGGTTGTTTTTTGAAGATTGCCTATTCAAGAAAACAAAAGAGTACGCAAATACCAATAGTAAGACTGAAAAGGGAATATCATGTTAGATCCTACAGACATTAAAAATTTAATGAGCTGATATTAGAATTTAAGCCAATAATTAGATATTTCAATAAAATGATATGGACAAATGTTTAAAAAACTTACCAAAACTGACATGAGATAGGAAATCTCAATAATCCTATATGTCTACCAAAGTAATTGAATCTATAATTTAAAACTTTCCTACAAAGAAGGGGAAGGGTCATCAAGGAACATGTATAAAGGACCCGTGGACAAAGACGACAGTGTAGGGAGAGAACTGAATGTGGGAGGTGGGGGTGGGTAGGGTAGAAGACAGGAATGTGAGGGAAATGGGGACAACTGTAACTGAACAACAATAATAATAATAAAAAAAACACCCAAACCTTTCCTAAAGAGAAAACTCCTCATTCAAATGGCTTCATTGGTGATTTTTACAGAAAACATTTATGGGGAAAAATAATACTAATACCAATTATACCAATCTTATACAAACCCTTCCGGAACACAGAAAAGGAAGTAATTCTCAATTCATTTTATGAGCCCCACATTATCCTAATACTAAAGCTTAACAAAGCTACTATAAGAAAGGAAATATACAAAACAATATGGACATAAGCATAAAAGTCTGAAAATTTAGTTCAATATATTTAAAAGGTACTATAATGACTAAATGGAATCTATTCCACAAATGCAAGATTGCCTTAACATTTAAAAAAAATCAATCCAGACAGATGAACTTTGGAGACATTATGGTAAGTGAAATAATCCAGTCCCAAAGAATAAATACTTATATGATGTCCCTAAAGTAGTCAAAGTCACAGAGATATGAAGTAGAATGATAGCTTCTAGGGAATAAGGAAAGAGGGAAGGAGAGTCTCTGTTTAATGGGTATTCAGTTTGGACTTAGAAAGATGAAAAGAATTTTGAATATGGATGCTGGAGATAGTTGTATAACAACTGTACACTTAAAATGTTAAGATGGTAAATTTTTATGTTATGTGCAATTTTTAAAATTAAAAAATTGATCCACATAAGAAAATCAACCACATTAAGAGAATAAGAAAAATCATATGATCATCTCAATAGTTGCAAAAATATGTATTTGATGAAATTCAACACTTGTCCATGACAGCAGACTATGCTTTGAGGCAGATTTCATTGATTTGATGGTGATTATCTATAAAAAACCCCCTTGTACCTTATGTCATACCTAATGGTATAACGTTTAGGGTTTTTCTTTAGATTCTGGGAAAAAGGCAAAGGACGTCCATAATCACTACTTATGGAGCTCCTAGCCAGCACAATAATGTAAAAAAAAAAAAAATACAAAGATTGGAAGCAATGAAATACAGATTTTACTTTACACACATGACATTTTGTACATAAAAAGTTCAAAAGAATGAAATTATTATAGTTACTAAGCGAATTTAACAAGGTCATTGGATATATGTTCAATTTAAATCTACTATATGCAATATCTTGTAACATAATACATATAAATTTAATATGCTATTATAGCGTTGGGAGGTGCTGGGAGGGGAGGCAGCCAGCTTGCAGTGGGGCCCCGACGGGAGGGCGCTTGTGTGCCCAGGCGGACACTGCCCAGCTGGTGGCTCCGGCGGTGGCCAGACATGCTGGGGCAGCGGGCGGGGGGCGGGGGGGGCGGGGGTGGGGGGGGAAGGTGGGAGCTCAGATAGAAGTACTGCGTGTACTGCCTAGTTGAGGGCTGAGGTGAGCTCAGGGCGCTTCTGCAGCACCGACTGCCGGGACATCCAGCTGTGCCCCGAGTGCTTCTCAACTAGCACCGAGATCAGCCACCACCACTGCTACCAGCTGGTGAATGGCGGGCGTTCCACGCTGTGGGGGCCCTAAGCCGAGGGCGCCTGGACCAGCCGCGAGGAGTGGCTGCTGCTGGATGCTGCAGAGCAGTTAGGCTTTGGAAACTGGGTCCCAGTATTGCCTTTATTCCTTTGCCTTCAGGTCCATCCTCAGCACCCGGGCGCCTGGTGGGAGGGTGCCTGCAGGGTCCAGCATGCCCCGCCAGAGCCCTAGATGAAGGGGTCTGGTAACTGCATCACGAATACGTTCCTCCCCTCTGTGCCCGTTTTGTCATAGCCCTGCCTGCATAGACTGGCTGGCTTCAGGGGTTCCTGTTTGGCTTTTTGGGGTGCTCTTGCAGAGGAAGACATGGCTGCTCCTGTGGAGCTTCCCTGGTCTCCCCAGGAAGTGGTGGAGCATTATGTAAGCATGTACATCCTCGACAACCTGGGAAAGGCCTGCATCCCGCGCATCATCCCCAACCGGGTGACAGACCACACCCGCCCCAGTGGAAGGCCCCTCTCTCCGGGCCTCACCATTCCCTAGCTTTTCCTAGACATCTCGTGGCTGAGCAGCAGCTGGGCTACTTGCCGCTGCGGGAGGACTACAAGGTTGAGTACGACTAGGACAATCAGTGGGCTCTTGGTCAGCTAAGACAACGATGAGCTGGAGGTCGAGCTCAAACGCGCCCATGTGAACATGTACGTGCGGAAGCTCAGGGAGAAGCAACGGTGCAAGAACACTGCCTGCGACTACAATCTGGTACCGGCCTTCCTGGGGAAGGACAGGGAGATGGCGGCCAAGTGCAAGATCACAGAGGAGCAGGAGCTGCGGCTGAAGCTGAGGCCGTGGCTGCTCTACCAGTTCATGTCCTGCAAGGAGTTTGATGACCCGTTTGAGAACTTGTCCAAGGAGAAGATACTGCGTGCCAAGAGCTGGAAGCTGCAGCGCTACAGATGGAACCGGATCACCAAGATGGAGGTGTCGGCCGAGTACGTACGAGATGGCCTGGCACTAGCGAGAGAAGCGGAAGGAGGACTGGGGCTCAGGAGGACGCCAAGGATGGTGAGTTCGACGCCATCAAGCACCTGGTGGGCTTCAAGTTGCTGTCCCACTACGAGACGGCACTGTGCAGCTTCCTCAGCCTGAGCCCCCTGCACTACGCCAAGACCATCATCATCATCAAAGACCACCTCCAGAAGCAGGATGGATTCCCTCCAGGAGTCGCCTGCCGAGTTACTTGGACAAGGTCCTAAAGAAAAGGATTTTGAATTTCTTCATGGAGGTTGGCTGGGTATCCAGGGATGCTTCCTGAGGCCAGTGCTCCAAAAGCTGCAGCCACTGACATGCTCATGAGCCAAAATGACTGTGAGGCAAGGGCAGGAACAGCTCCTTTGCTCCCCTTATTTTTTTCAGCAGTTTCATTTTTTTAGGGTACAAATTCTTTTCATGGTCCTCTGAAAGGAGCAATAGTAATCTTAGATCATGGGGGAAACAAGCACATGTACATTGTACCTTAGTCCTAAAAGTAATGCGTGAAAAGGACCATCTTGCCTTTCTGTGTTGGGTTTGGAGATCTGACCGTTGCCTTCTGTGAGCCCTTCCCTTTGGTACACCATGTGTGCTGGCTCCCTGGCTGTTGGCCTCACCCAGTGACTCAGGCCCTGGCCTGGCCCTGGCACACGGCACATTAGATGGGGGACAGCAGGGCAGGCAGGGAGGCCAGAGGAGGTTGGGATGAGGTGTCCTTGGAATTTCAGGAAGAGGTCAGTGGTGAACACATTGATCAAATGAACTTCCCCTTACCTGTTGGCAGCGGCTGAGTTTTGAGCCTGCAGTTCCCAAACCCTGAAAGCGCCCCTGGCCTGGACCCTGCTGGCTCAGTTTGGGAATGGACAGGGCCATTGGCAGTGCCCCCTAGTTCAGAGAGGAAGCTGTGGGGAAGCCTGGCAGCAGAAGGACAGGCACCATTGCCAAGACTCAGAGCACTTTTTGAGGGCAGCTGCAGGCTGCTCTTGTACTTGCAGGATCTTCTTTTAGAAAATTCATGGCTGAGAGTACTGAGTCAGTGTAGCATCCTCCAGGACTTCTGTCACAGTTGCAAGTGCCCTCTTCACTGAAACCCTGACCAAGCTAGCCTGGCAAAGCATCTGAACTTTGGATGGCCCGAGGCGCTCTGCAGACCAGCCAGGCAAGATGGGGCAGCCCATGTGGCCAGTCTGGGCTTAATGTGCTGCTTCTCTGGGTCACTGTGTTGAACCAGACTCAGAGGTGGCTCTGCCTGGCCTTATTTCATTTTTCAGGTGCCCTTTTACAGGTTACCTTCCTTTGGAACTTGGGTTAGCCACTTGTCTTCTGGGCTTCTCAGGGCTCTCATGTTCAAGACCCTGCTTTAGAGTCGGTGGAGTGACCACAGACCCAGCAGGGCCAGTGCTCCTGGAACTTGGCTTGCCTCTCCAACAGCAGGTACTTGAAAACTGTCTACCACCCAGAATGTTTGAGCTTGAAGTTACTTTAAAGTGAAGTCATTTGAAAGAAAAGACATTCTCATAATTTCCAAGGACAACTTAATTATGGTGCCTTTTCCTTTCTTTTTACATCTTTCTGTCCCTTAGGGTCAAGTTTTCAGCATTAAATCATTTCAAATGCAAAATAAAATGCTACTATATACACTTTACTATAATAGCATATCATTTAAATGTTTAATAGACAGGGATGGGTAGAAGTACAGTTCAGAAGTTGGGAGTATACACAAAACACAGTTTATTCTTATATTATTATTTGTTAATTATGGTATTATTTTCCAAACAACTGTAAATCTACTTTTCCCACCCCTATATATGATTAAAAATAAAAAAGAAATTAAAATAATATTTATAATACCTAAATATCAAATACACATGACTAATTCAACAAAAATGTTCAAAACTTCTACACTGGAAAAATACAAAAATTGCTGAAATGATAAAATGTATATAATTGAAAAGGTATAGTATGCTCATAGTCTGGAAGCCTTAATATTGTTAAGATGCCCTTTCCTCCAAAATTAACCTATATATTTAACAATATCCATGAATATCCCAACTTTTTCATGTGGAGTAATTTTTAAAAATCATTAAAAAATGAATATGAAAATGCCAAGGACCTAAAATTGCAGTGAAAATTTTAAACAAGAACAAAATTAGAAGATATATTCCACTATATACCAAGACTTACTCTAAATCTGTTTTCACTAAGAACTTTTGGTATTTAATAATGCAACAGAATAGATGATCTAGAAATGGACCCTCACATAATATGATCATCTGATTTATCGTAAGTATAACCACTTCAACCCAAGGAGGAGGGGAGATGGTCTTTTAATTAAATAATGTTAAATAAATTATATATTTTAATGGAAAATATTATTTTTGACCTCTATCCTATCCCATAAAAATTAATTTCAGATTTTAGATATAAAACACTTTTAGATATAAAAGTAAAAACAGCAGATATGCATAATAAAATACAGGAAAATACCTTTATGACATTGGATTAGAAAAAGATTTCTTAAACTCAGCATGAAAATCAGCACTAATCATAAAAGAAAGTTTGATGAATTACTCCATCAAAATTAAAGACGTCTTTTCATCAAAGGACATCATTTAGAGAGAGAAAAGGCAAGCGGTAGATGAACAGATATTTGTAATGTTACAAATATCTAATGCCTTATATACAGAATTTTAAAGAAAACTATAAATGAACAAAAAGAGTTCCCAATGAAAATATGAGCAAAAGTCTTGAACATACACTTCTCAAAAGAAGATATTAAAAAAAACAATAAACACCTAAAAGGGGACTCAACATTATTAGCCAGCAAGAAAATGGAAATTATACCTATAATGAGATACCATTACCCACTAGAACCAGGCTTTGGAGTCTTACCACTCCACTGAAACTGCTCTAGTAAAGATGCCCTGTGTCATCTCCATTCTCTAACCCAATGGACACTTTTCAGTTCTTATGTCATTTGAATCTGCTAACTCTGTTCCTCTTCTTGAAACGCTTGGCTCTAAAGCAGGGATAGGAGGCAGGGCTTGGGTGTATATGTTAGGAGGTAGAAATCAGCAGCCAATAATAGAGTCAGCATCATCATCATGTCAACTGTTTGACAGCAGAGGGTTTTAAAAATATTTATTTTTCAATTACAGTTGACATTCAATATTATACTAGTTTCAGGTGCCATGCACAGTGGTTAGATATTTATATACTTATGAGGTGATCTGCCAATAATTCTAGTTACCTGACACCAAACAGTTATTATCATATTATTGACCATATTTCCCATACTGTGCTGTACATGCCTGTGATTATTTTGTAATGACAGCAGGGTTTTTTGAGTAGCATTTCAAGGTCTAATCCTCAAACTTTCTGATCAGAAACTGGTACATTATATCCAAAGAAAGTAAGTCTTGGTAATAGTTAATAAATCTCACTATTAAAATTCAATCAGAAATGGTCATTTTAACCACAATGTCAAATTATTCATTTATAATGGGAGATAGCACATATCACTTATTCAATATTCCCTCCATAATATTAAATATACACTTATCTATAGTATACATCATTAAGAGAAACATTTGATTTTCTTTCCTTCAGTCTCCACTCAAGCATAGCTCATCGTCTTGTCTTACTCTTTTTGGGTATCAGGTTCATGATCTGTTAGAGCCTTCTGGTATCAGATCCTTGGCTTCTGGATTCCCACTTTGACTTCAGGTTTCTTGTAGTATTCCCAGCCTTCATTTTTGGACTTGGGAGTCCTTGGCTATTTCCACTCTCTGTACTCCAATGTTCTGTGAGGCTATACCCAGAACTTTTTACCACTGTGGCCTTTACTTGGCACAATGTTGAAAGTGGAACTTCTGAGGCTTGGAGTCTTCTTTTCTACAACCTGAACATGTCTAGATATTCTTGGATGTTTTCCATCTATATACAACTTATATTACCTTCTCTAAATGAAACACATGGGGTGGGGAGGTGAGGTGCTGGGTAACCTTGGAATTTAGGCAGCCATCAAAACCAATTCCTGTGTCCTTAAATCCATGACCACCCTCCCCCACCAATGTATATTTAGCACCCAGGATGATTTCTGGCATAACGTGTCCAAAATATTAGCTTCACAAGAAAAAATAGGTTTTTCATGCTCCCTGTAAAGAAAAACTTAAAAATATAGTGAAGTGCAGAAAAGTCAAACAAAAAACAGCTGATACTCCACCAACTGTGAAACAACCATCATTAAGTTTTGGAGACCATCCCTTCGCTTATGGCTCCCAAAGTTCACAGAAATACTTAATTTTACAATTTATACCATACATGCTGCTCTTAACATTTCTCTTTTTTCCCATCTTTTCCCTTACTTACCCTCCTACTTCTTTTCTCCTCCAAGTTAACCAATATTAACTGTCTGGTGTATATTTTTTCATACCTGTTTCCATGTTCATCTAATCACATACACACATAAATATATAAATTTGTGTTTAACAAAAATGAAATAGTATACATACACATATCTGTATTAAAGCAGTGATTTATCAAAAATTGTGGGGAAAATGAGGTCAGCTTGTAGATATAACTCACTTTAAAAATTACTCTCATGCTATTACATGTATCAGGGTACATCACAATTCATCCAACCACTCCCGTTAGTGGCCTTTCATTTTGTCTCCAGTTGGGTTTCTTCTTTGCTTCCAAAACTATACTTAAACAAATACCCTTATTTGTGTACTCTTGTTCACTGATGCTCTTATCTCTGTGGGACAGACTTCTGAGTCAAAACATTTTTTATTTCTCAAATATTAAATATTTTAAAATTGGATTGCTGGTGAAAATAGAAATTGGTATAACCTTTTGGTGAGAGTACATGATTTCCTAAACCTCACTAGTAAAAGATCTCTTAATTTGGCTAACTCCATGAAGTGAAAGTGATGATATCATTGGATGTTTTAATTTGCATTTCCCTGAGTACTACTGTTTAGGGTCATAATATTTCATAGGTTAATGGCCATTTGGAGTTGCTCTTCTATCAATAGCACTCAAGTCCAGATGGGTTAAAGACTTCAATGTAAAAAATAAAATGATCAAAATCTTAGAAACAAATTTAGGACACTATGTATAACCTAGGAATTAAGAAGACCCTTTTAACTAAAATAGTAAGAAAAAAGGAAAACAGAAAAAAAATGTGGTAAATTCTTTTACTATATAAAAAATTATAAAGACAAATGCTAGATTAAGAAAAACATCTGCAAAACACATGACAAAAGAATTAATATCTAAAATATATAAAGAGCAACTCCAAATTTATTTGACAAACAATAGAAAAATAGGCAAATATATATATATAGGTAATCCATTGAAAATAATCTGTTAAATGAATAAAGTGTGAAATCTGGGTGAAGGCTTTCATTTGTCTATTACTGCACTCTATTGTGAATTTTTTTTACAACTTCTAAGATTTAATATGATTAAGTGCTTTTCCACATTGATATGTTTATAGAGTATCTTTTCTGTGTGTATTTCCTGGCAAATTGATTCTGAAAGTCACACATTCATTAAACACATAGATTATGATTATTCTTGAGTAGACATCTGGATGAATGATTTATTATTTACATTAGCTGAGTTTCTCTCTGATGAATTCTCTGATGTACAGTAAGGCTTGAGCTACTCCTAAAAGTTTTTCCACATTCATTACATTTATAGGGTTTTTCTCCAGTATGCATCCTCAAATGTACAGTAAAATCTGAGTTAGTTCTGAAGGCTTTTCCACATTCTTCACATTTATAGGGCCTCTCCCCAGTATGAATTCTCTGATGTAGAGTTAGCTGTGATAGAGTAATACAACCTTTCCCACATTCTTTGCATGTATAGGGTTTTTCTCCAGTATGTGTTCTCCAATGCACTGTAAGGTATGAACCCCTCCTGAAGGCTTTTCCACATACATCACATTTATAGGGTTTCTCCCCACTATGGATTTTCTGATGTTCTGTGACATGTACCATCTGGCTAAATGCTTTCCCACAGTCATTACATTTAAATGGTTTCTCTCCAGTATGTGTTCTCTGATGGGTATTAAATCCAGAGTTACTTGTAAAAACCTTCCCACATTCATTACATTTATAGGGTTTTTCTCCAGTATGCCTTCTTTGATGCACAGTAAGCTGTGATGTGTTAGTAAAAGCTTTCTCACATTCATTACATTTATATGGTTTTTCTCCAGTATGGGTCCTTTGATGTACAATAAGGTATGACTTAGTCCTGAAGGATTTTCCACAGTCACAGCATTTATAGGGTTTCACTCCAGTATGAATTTTCTGATGCTCCTTGAGATTCACCATTTTGGTGAATGCCTTCTCACAGTCAGTACACTTATATGGTTTCTCTCCAGTATGAATCCTCTGATGTACAGTTAAATGTGATTTTATTCTGAAAGATTCCCCACATTCATTACATAGATAAGGTTTCTCTTCAGTATGAATTCGCTGATGTATAATTAGAGATGAAGAACGCATGAAGGCCTTTCCACATTCACTACACTTATAAGGTTTCTCTCCTGTATGCATTCTATAGTGTACTGTAAGGCATGAATAATTAATGAATGCTTTCCCACACTCATTACATTTATAAGGTTTTTCTCCTGTATGAATTCTCTGATGTTCTGTGAAATTTGCTATACGATTGAATGCTTTCCCACATTCATTACATTCATAGGGTTTTTCTCCAGTATGAGTTCTTATATGTACAATAAGGCTTGAATTACTTCTATAGGCTTTTCCACATTCATTACATCTAAAGGGTTTCTCTCCAGTATGAATTCTCTGATGAACATTAAAAATTGTGGTATTCTTAAAGGATTTCCCACACTCATTGCATTTATATGGTTTCTCTTCAGTATGGGTCTTCTGATGTACACTAAGATATGCCTTATTCCTAAAGGCTTTCCCACAATCATTACATTTGTAGGGTTTCTCTCCATTGTGAGTTTCTTGATGTCGTGCAAGTTTTGATTTATCACTAAAAGCTTTCCCACATTCACTACATTTATAGGGCTTCTCTCCAGTTTGAATTCTCTGGTGCTGATTAAGGCGTGCACACTGGCTAAAAGATTTTCCACAGACATTACATTGATAAGGTTTCTCCTTAGTATGAGTTCGCTGATGTACCATAAGTGATGAAGAAGCAATAAAGGCCTTTCCACATTCATTACACTTATACGGTTTTTCTCCAGTGTGAATTTTTTTATGTTGACTAAGATAAGAAGGCTGGCTAAACATTTTCCCACATTCATTACACTTATAAGGTTTTTCTTTAGTGTGAGTTCTCTGATGTTGAATGAGTAACGACCTATAACGAAAGGCCTTTTCACATGTACTACATTTGTAGGGTTTTTCATTATCATTGAGTATTTTCCCTAAAGTAAGTTCTGAAGTAGGCCTTATTTCTTTGTGGCCTTCTGTATCCTTGCAATTTTTCTCCCCCAATTTATCTTTATTCAAATCTAAATTTCCTGTGAAATTTCCCTCATGTGCTTGGCACTTGCTTTGGAGCTCTTCTGGACAAAAAATAGACCCAAATCTAACACCTCTTTGACCAGTGGGAATTTTCTTATGTGTAACTATTCTTTGGCTCTGACTCTCCTGACTATTTTGCAGTCTCAATATCCTGTCATTCCATTTCCACAATCCTCTCATTCTGAAGTCCCATAGACCATTTTCTGTGAGTTTCTCCATTATTTTCTCCTGTGATAAATCTTCAGAGTTATCTTCTGTTAGTATAGCATTCTTGGTTGCTAGTTTGGTCTCCAACTCTGGGGAGGGGGAAAAGGAAAATCAAATGACTCCATTTCCTAAGTTAGGGAGAACTCACTAAACTGAATAATAAAAGGAAAACTTGGGCTGACAATGAATATGTGGTTTTTAACTGACTGAAAATTGGCCTTTTCCTGTTTTTGAAGAAGTAGCTAAAATTAAGTCAGTCTGATTCAGCAAAAAGCCAAAGTAGTAAATTCAAGGAATTTTTCCTGTATTAAAAAAATTCATTCACTTCACTCTTAAAGGACCCATAGACAAAGACAATGTGGGGCAGGATTGAAAGTGGAAGGTGGGGAGTGGGTAGGGCAGGGGACAGTAATGGGGGGGAATGGGGACAACTGTAACTGAACAACAATAAAATTATTTTTAAATAAAAAAATTCATTCACAGCAGCACTCAAAAGAATCTAAGTCTCTCAAATATTTTTCTCATTCTTTTCAGAGCCAACTTCTTTAGAGAGCATTCTTTATAAATTGTGACTAATTCCTTGCTTCTCATTTACTCCACAAACCAGGTATTTGATCTCAACCATACTTTCTATTTGTTCTCATTCTTTATTGACTAGCTATTTTTTAATTTTGTGAGGGCTTTCTCAAATTTCCCTGTCATAGTAGCTTATTCAAGTCTTTGTACATACTTTTTAATAAAATTCTTATGGAAAAAGACTGGTTTTTCAGAAGGTAGGATGAGCTAACTACTCAAAATTAATGTTTATGATTATTGATATTTCACATAGTGAAAACTATTATCAAAAATAGTTTTATAACCTTTTTATGGATCTTAACATTTCTGATAGTTTGTCAGAATTCCTTTTTTTAAAAAATTATTCTGTGTGGTGGCAGTCGTAACAACCTGTTTGTATACGCAAGTTAATATGTTACTTTCTAAAATCACTTTTATACTTCTTATTCATTTTAGGATAATCATACCTAAATTTAAACATTTAGGTAAATAATTTTAAATAAACAAACTGCATGTAAATCTTTTGTGGTCACTAGAATGGTGTATGACTTTAAAACTCAAGGTAAGTAGAACTTTCAATGGGTACACATGGCTGGACAAAGATCGGAATTCAGAGCCAACAAAGAAGAAAGCCCTATAACTCAAGGACTAAAACCCAGCTCATTTAAATGTCTAATTAAAGCAAGATGACTGAGGATTGTTACAGGCCTGTATCCTAGCAGCCTTCCAAAAGTAAACAATCCTCTATGAAAAAATTACATAGTCCAGAACCTCAAAGTATTGTTACAGGTTTTCATATTCAATGCCTGACAATGAATAATAATAGGCATATAAGAACATAAAAAACATGAGACAAATCAAGAAAAAACAGATAATACAAACCAACATAAAAGGAATCCAAATAATTGAGGTCTCAGATATGAACTTTCAAATTAATTAGGATTAGTTTATTCAAGAAAATAAGACAAGATTAATAATTTCAACAAATAACTGAAAAGTATAAAATAAGAACCAAGTGATAATTCTAGAATTGGAAAATAAACAAATCAAGAACTCAAAGGATAGGCTAAAAGTAGATATGGCACATGTGAGTGTAAGGAAAATTGGTCAGCAGAAAATATCCATATTGAAGCACAGAATAATGAAAAACCTGAAAACATTATTTTAAAAAGCATATGATGTACTACAATGACAGAATGGAGCAGTTGCTACAGAGACACTACAGTCCCACAAAGTCTAAAATATCTACTGTCTTGCCTTTTACACAAAAAGTTCACTGACTCTTGAATTAGACAGATGGTTGACTTCTCAACAGATTCTATGTAATAAGAGAAAACAATGGAATGATACCATTAAGAGCTGAAAGAATAAAATGCCAACCTAAAATTTGAAACTTATCAAAAATTTTATTAAAAATGAAGGTTAAATAGCCCATAGTCAACACATTTATAATCTTATTTCTGTTTTTGACAACAACCACAGGTGTTACGGAGATATAATTCTCACTTAATTATTCATAAAGTGAAGTTCAACACGGTTAACTAAAGCTGGCAAATGACAGATACAGGTTTGAGTCCAGGTGTTCAAAGTGAGAACTCTATTCTCTATTCTCTTTACAATAATCCTTCCTCCTCCACAATTGAGTATCACCATGATTCCAAATACCTATGCTCACAAGGCCTCTTACTTGATAGTTCTTGTGGCTAGAATCCAGTTTCTTCCTAGCTTCTAGCCTTCTTTACTTAAGTTCCCAGGTCCTGAAGGTTCTTATTCAGTTTCCCTATCTCTTTTCCTCTTAGAGACAGGCCTTTTGCTCCAAACATAGCCCAACAGTTTGAAATATACCACTTATTCAGACATCTTGCCTTGTAGGATCTCACTGTTAAGTCAGACACCCAGGGGTAGACTTTTTGTTCTTCCTGGACTTTCTTGAAGCCTGTGCCCTTGGGATCACCCCTTCTTCAACCTATTTCCAAGCTTTGGTCTCATCTCCTTTTCTCTGGAGCATAGTGACAAGAACATAGATTTAGTTACACGTACTAATTTTCAAATACCAGTTCTGACAATAACTAGATGTATTTAACTTCTTTGATCTTTAGTTTTTTTTGTTGTTAAACACATACATATTTACTATGCAGGGCTATTTTAATGGTTACACCCAATGAAATTATATAAGTAAATTTCCCAGCAGAATGCCAGTAATGAAGTAGATATCTAATAAATTTTGACTGTTATTGTCATTGTTATAATGTATTTTTCTTCATGTATGGACCTAAGTTACTCAGGGGAAAAATGTGTCTCTTGACCAATGTATTTGGCATGACTCCTTGAGATGTAAGAAATAGAAGCATATGAAAGATATTCTTTGGTAAATTTACTTTAAAATTATATACTAATATCCCTACATAATACAGCATAAACTTTGGGAAGCCTTGCCCTTAGAGAAGTCATTCACTGTCTTCCATTTGATCTCTTGAGTAAGAAGCCATGTCACAGGCATCAATATTCCATTAATTCAGAGTAGCACTAGAAGTTACCATTAACCAAACACCATCGTCAAACTAATAAGACATGTCTGTTCAAAGTCAAGAAGACTGACTAATGATGAATACCTAAAGCAAATATATTTTGATAAAAAATTATTTCAATTTTAGAACATGACAAGGTAAAAACAAAGTTAAAGACTTTTTTAGGCAAAAAGAAAAATGGAAAGAATATGACATCAGCAGATCTCAATAAAACATTAAAGGGTATTTTTTAAGCAGAAGAAAAATAACCCTAGGTAGAGGCCCAGAAATAAAGAAAAAAATGAAGAGGAAGGTAAGGTAAAAATACAGGTAAATCTTAATGAATACTGACTGCACATAACAATAATGTCTTATGAGATTTGACACATATATAGAATTAAAAATATACACTTCAATAATATGTAAATGAAATGAGATTAAATGGAATAAGTTGCTCTAAAATCCATGTATTATTTGGAAAGAGGGGAAAAAAAATCTGTTGAGTTGGCCAAGATGTTTGTTCTGATTTTCTCATAAGACAGTTCTAGCTTAGCTGTTTTTAACTTTATTTGAAACAATTTTGTTAGACTGTATTGTGACAGCTGTCATATCAGTGTGTACTTAAAAAACTTATCAAAATTGGTGAATTTTTGTGTAGCCATTTTAATATTGAAGATGAAAGAAAATATGCAACATTTTGGCATATTGTTTTATTATTCCAAGAAAGGTAAAATGCAACTAAAAAGCAAAAAATACTCGTGCAGTATACAGAGAAGGCTCTGTGACTGATCGAATGTGTCAAAAGTGTTTTACCAAGTTTTGTGCTGGAGGTTTCTTGGTGGATGATGCTCCACAGTTGGGTAGACCAGGTAAACTTGATAGTGATAAAATCAAGACATTAACTGAGAAACATCAATATTCTACCACTTGGGATGTATTATACTCAAAATATCCAAATTAATGAAGTTATTGGTTAAATAAAATTGTGTCTTTTATTTTATGGAAAAAAACATATGGACTTTTTGGCCAACTCAATACATTCAACTGCTAAATCAAGAATGTATGGTTTAATTTCAAAGTTAACCACTTAACAAATAATTTAAAATTTATAATTACCAAGTGTTTAGAGGGGGAAAGAGAAAAATAAATGATAAATCTAAAGAGCTAAATGGGAAAAAGAATACAAAACAGGTAAGACACTTGCAGTTAGATGATAAATTTAAACATGATGTAATTGTATTATGCACAAATAAACTAAATATTCCCAAATACACAAATGTCGGATTAGTTAAAACAAATGTGCTACTTACAAGAGAAACAAAATAAAAGTATTACAGTGAGCAGATGAAAAGTGATGTACCATATAAACATTAACTAAAAGAATGATGCTATAGTTATATTAATTATCAGACAAAATAGACACTAAGGCAAAAACCATTAATAGAGATAAAGAAGACACTTCATAATGAGAAAAGTTCCAATTTTCCAAATAGATATAAAAGTTCTACCTTTGTATTTAATAATGCAATTTCAAAATACATAAAGAAAAAATTAAAGAACCTAAAGCAAGAAATAAATCTACATTCACAGTGGGATACTTTAAAAATCTCCCTCAATAACTAATAGAATAAGTTGACAATTAGTAAGTACATAGATTTTAGCAACACAATTAACAAATAACATATCTAGAACTGCACTGGATACCTATCCATTGCACATTTTTCCAAGTGCACACGAAATGTTTACAAAAATTGGCCATGTGGTAAAGCAAGTTTTAAGAAATTTGCAAAGATTGCAATCATACAGAGCATTTCCTCTGACCACAGTAGCATTTCAGGTAAAAAGATTACTAGAAAATATCCATATGGTACAAAATTAAGAAAAATACTTCTCAGTAGCCTGAAGGCCAATGACATAACACTGGAAATTATCAAATACTTTGAACTCAGTAATTATGAAGGTACTACATAAAAAAGGTATGATGCAGTCTTGTTTATTTTTATTTTAATCATTGTTCAAGTACAGTTTTCTCCCTTTTACTCCCATTTCAGCCCACCCACCCAACCCTCCCCACTTCCCTCCCATTACCACCCTCCCCCTAGTTTTTGTCCATGTGTCCTTTGAATTTGTTCCTTAAAACCCTTCCCATTCTCCCCTGAAATTCCCTCTTCTCTCCCCTCTGGTGTGATGCAGTCTTGATTGCCTTAAATACATTAAAAAAAATGGCTGAGAATCAATGATATATGTATCCAATGCACGAGGTTAGAAAAGATCAGCAAATTAAACACTTTTTAAGGAACAAAAAGTGAAAGAAGGGAATAAAACAAGTCAAACACACAATAGAAATGATAAAAATTCTTTTTTAAAAGCTAAATAAGATTGATAAACCCTAGTAAGACTGATAAGATAAAAGAGAGAAAACAAAAAAATTAATCTCAGAAATGGAGGAGGAGACATCACTTCAAATCCACATAGAGAGTTAAAAGGTTCAATAGCCCTGGTGGTGTGGCTCAGTGGAATGAGTGCTGGACTGGGAAATAAAGGGTCACTGGTTGTACTCTCAGTAAGGGCACATATCTGTTTTTCAGGCCAGGTACCCAGGAAGGGGCATGCAAGAAGCAACCACAGATTGATGTTTCTCTCCCTCTTTTCTCCTCTTCCCCCTCTCTAAAAATAAGTAAATAAAATCTTTAAAAAGAAAAATAAAACAATAAAACATTAAACAGAATAGTATGCCAAAAATTTTAAATTTTAGATTAAACAGATCAATTCCTAGATAAACCTAATTTACTAAACTGAAATAAAATTTTTTTAAAAGCCCCAGCTGGTGTGGCTCAGTGGACTGAGAGGTTACCGGTTCAATTCCCAGGCAGGCACATGCCTGGTTTGCAGGCCAGGCCTCCAATTGGGGACATGAGAGAAGCAACCAATTGTTTCTCTCACACATCACACGTGTCTATCCCTCCCTTCTTCCTTTCCTCTCTCTCTAAAAATAAATAAATCTTTAAAAAAAGAAAGAAATAGGAAATAGTTCTATAACTACAAAAGAAATAGAAGCTATAATTAAACACCTTGCACAATAAAAGCTTCAGGTCAACATGACCTCACTGGTGAATTCCATGTACCATAAAATATATAACTTTCCCTCTCTCACCACTCTGTATTGTCATCACAATAAGCTGATGGCCTCACTTTATACTTTATTGAGAATCCAGATGCTACCATAAGATGTGTCCATTGTCCTACTACCAGGTGACCTATATCTGTACCATCTTCTCCAGGTGGCCTCCGTATCTGTCAAAGGTAAATTCCTCCTTTTCCATTCTAGATTTCCATTCCCTTTCACCTTTCCAGACACTTTAGTTCTTCAGTGATCCCATCTTTGTCTTGCAACATCAATTTCTCCCTTTCCATTGGGGCATCATTCTGATCTACACTAGAGCATGCCATAAAAATTCCCATCTCAAACACAGTTTTTTCTCAGTTCTATACTTTTCTCTAGTTACTGCTGCATTTCTTTTTCCTTCTTCATGGTGGGGAGGGAATCCTTTTCTAAAGATTCATCTAAAACTATCTCCAATGTCTACTTTTCATTTACTCTCTTTAAAATATATATAATAATTGACATATGAAAACAATATAAGTTAACACATATGCAGTTATGGATGGCATCATAATAAAATGAATGCTCAAATGAACTAGAATCCACTTCTTTCCTTTTCTACTACTATATCATACTAATACAATTTATTATCATCTCTTGCCTAGACCATTTTTAACAACCTCTTCACTGATTATTTGCTTTATGCCTTTAAATTCAATTTCCATAAACAGGGTTATTTCCTAAAAATCCTTGATTAAAATCTTTCAATACCTGCAAACTCACTTTGATCAAAATCCAAACTCCTTACCATCATCTACAAATTCCTGAACAGGCAGTCACCTGTCTCAATAATGTTATTCTATACCAGTCTTCCTCTCATTTATGTTTCGATCACAGCAGCTTCCTTTAATTTCTAGAATACATTATGTTGTTTTCTGTATCAGGTTATTTGCCTGTTATGCTCCTCTTTTCCTCTTCCTATGACTGGCTTCTTCTCATCCTTCAAGTTTCAGCTTCAAGTCATATTCTCAGAAGCCTTCCTTGACCATACTGTGTGAAGCAGGCAGCCTCATTCCCCATCCCAGTCACTCCTTCATATCCTCCACTTTATCTTATAGCTAGAAATTATTCCAATCACTACTTAGCTTGTTTTTGTTTATTTACATGTTAATTATCTATTTCTCAAAAATTAATCTTCATGAGGGCAGGGACTTGGTCCATCTTACTGCTGAAGACCTTCCATCTAACTGTGTGGGTGTGTATATAACTGTGTATACATAACTTATTCCATTTTAATACTAATCCTCCTGAACCCTTAACCCCTTCCCATTTCCCCCGGGGTGGACTATGAATGTGTATAGAGACTCCAGGTTAATTATGAACCATCATTAATCCTTTGTCTACCATTAGTCTTCCTTCTATGCAAAGTGCCCTCAATGTTATCTTGCTCTGGCACCAGAGCCCCAGTATCTGGTCCCTTGGTTCCCCTTGATCACCATGCATTCCTTTCAGAGTCCTTAGGTCCACTTCTTAAGGGGAATATAAAGCCAGTGGTCTGCCAATAAATGAGGCAAGGATCCATTTTGTCCTGCTTCCTGCCTCCAGCTGCCCAGTACTATGTTTCTGTAAGTTCCCTATTAACACTCTTTAAACTGACAAGCTAGACTTGCCTGCCTCATTCTTGAGCCTCTTGAATCCATTGGCATTTGGAGGCTACTTTTGCATACACGGCCTTTTAATGAAACACTAACCCAGTTCACAGTATACAAATATTTAACAAACATTGATTAAAGAAATACTGTATTTTGATTCTGAACTGATTTCTTGCTTGTATCCTCAATTAGTCAAGAACCCCCAAAGTTTTAGCAGGTTTATAGATAAAGTTAGATAGTGACCAAGTAAGTTTAGCTTAAAAGAAATCAAGCTGATTCTCAAGAAAGCATTTTTGGAAAAATTAATGACAGAAAAAGATGTCAGAAAATGGCTCAAGAAAAAAATGTAAATTTCACTGCAGACAGCAGAACTGAAAGGGATATTTTATGCATGCTTAAATGAAGAAAGAATAAAGGAACAACAATTAAAATCATGAATCCAAGAAAGCAAAGTGGGATGGGACAGGAATCAAAAGTAGAAGACAGAGAGAGGGGGAGAGAGGGGAAAAAGGGAGGGAAAGAGAAGGAAGCAATGAGAGATGGAGGTAAATATAGGGAGAGAAGAAGAGGGAGAATCTTTTCCTCTGACAGCTTTGAGAAAAAGATACTCTCCAAAATATTTCAGGTATTTTGATTCGGCCATGGAATAAATCCCATCTTCCTGGTTCTTATTAACTCACCTGGATAGGGGCTTGTTGAAATTTCTCTCACTACTACCCATAGTCCTTTTCCATCCTCCAAATGAGATATCATATCTGGTTTGGAAACTGCAAGCCCTGTTCAAAGGAAAATGAATAGGGTTTGACTATGTCTATGGACAAGAACTATTGCCAATTTCAGTCTATTCTTGATCTCTTGTGCAGAGTTGCTATTATAGGAAGTTCTAGAGGTGTGCTGTCCAATACACTTGCCAATGGCCACAGGTAGATGTTTAAATTTAAATGTAAATTAGTTAAAGTTATATGAAATTTAAAATTTAGTTCTTTAATTGGACTAGCCACATTTCAAGTGCTCAAGAGCCACAAGTGCCTAGTGTTTGCCATATGGGACAGCATTGATGTAGACCATTCCTATTACAGAAAAACCTTCTATTGTACAATGGATGCCATAGAGAACTACAAGTGTATCTCAAAGAATCTCAATGCTATGATCCCAAGTTTGCTGGGATAATAGATCATGAGCATATTTTTTTTAGAAAGAAAAGGAACAAATATATTTGTTCCTTTTATTTCTGAAGGCACTGATAATTCATTTATAGAAGTGACTAGAAAAAACTTTAGTCCTAAATCTGAGGGACTGTCAACAACTTTCAAGACTCCAGTGAAATATGTATTTCATATTCTACAGTGGGTAGACTAGTTAGTTAAGAGTAAGGAACAGCATAACTCCCAATAATACTCTCCTATGATTATGAGATTTTAATGCCAAAATTCATATAAGTACTTTAGAGGCTCTATATCCTCAGCAAGTCTGGTCCAGTGGGTAGATACATGAACACAGAAGCTATTCTTACCCAGGGATACAAGATTCCTGTAATTCTCTAGCATCACATCCTTGTGCAGGTCCCTCTGTGTAGGGTCCATCAACCTCCATTCTTCCAATGTGAAGTCTATAGCCACATCTTTAAATGTCACTGAATCCTAAAATAAATACACTGTAATCACCCAGGGACCAAACATTAAGACCTGTTAGGCAGAATAATTTATACAAAACTGGGGAAGAACTAGAAATCAGAATCACCAAATGACTAAAGAAGTCAGTCCGTTCAACTCTTAAAGGATGTGTGAGTCTCCCCAGGGACAAGAACTTAAAACCACAAGAGGAAGCCCATTCTATTTTCAGTTTTACCTAATAGCAGGATTTTTCCCAGACTAATTAAAATCTGGCTTTCTCTAACTTCTAAATATTGGTCCTACTTTATTATCTAAAATCAAGCAGCATGGTCTCCTCCCTCCCTAGAAAGTCCTTAAAAATATTTGGTAACAGCTAGTAGTTTCCACGCAAATCATCTTTTGTCAAAACCCTTTCTTATGTATAATATCAACTGTTTTTCAGCTCCAATATATAAAATATAGCTTACCAAAAGGTAGTTTATAATTCAGATAACAAATTAAGAATATTACAAGCCTGCTATTTGAGAAATAAAAACAAGAAACCATAGAATTTTATGGAACTTCTTTAGTTAGGATATGAAATATGTATGCAATTGTGTAAAAAATGGAAGAATTATCCATTAAAATGTTAATGATGACCTACTGGAAGAAGAAAACAGGGAGCAGTTTTTTAAAAAAACTGATGTATTATTTTTAAAAGCTCTGTTTCCAACAACAACAGAAGCAATCCCTAAAAATTAAAAGTAAAATGAAACTAGTTGGTAGCATACACATTCATCAAAAAGAAACTATTTTGAGTGATTTTAAAACACTGTAACCTTTCTGAATATCCCTTGTGAGACACACCCCAAGGAGAAAAAGAACCACAAATAGCCCATTTCAATGAAAAATCATATTGTTGGTGGTAGTGATGGAAATGCTATTTTGTAACTGTTGTTTGTATAGTGTTATATAAAGCAAATTAGTATACTGATGTCATTGAGAAGTAATACATTTGGCATGGGAAAAATAAGACATAAATGTAATATTGATGAGAATATATATAAAACTCTAGATCCAAATCTGAGTTGGGAATATCAGTTTAAACTTATATTTTATTTTTTATAATTGTTTTATCCTCATGTGAGAACCTTTTTGTCATTGCTTTTTAGTGAGAGAGGAAGAAAGGAAGAAAAGAAGAAAGGTGGTAGGGAGAGAAAAAAAAGAGGGATAGGGAAAGAGAGAGAGAGAAGGGGGTGGGGGAGAGAAATATATATATATATATATATATATATATATATATATATATATATATATGAGAGAAACATCAATTGGTTGCCTTCTGATATGCGCCCCAACCAGGGATCAAATCCATCACCTTGGGTATGAGCGCTGACAGGAAATCAAATCCGCAACCTTTTGGTCTACGGGATAATGCTTCCACCAACTGAGCCAAACTGGCTAGGGTTAAGGATTTTTTTTACTTTTAAGGAAAAAAACCCCACATATTTCCCAGCTTTATCCTCTGAAAAGGCCAAGAAACAATACCCAATAAAAGCATTATGGAGGCCAGATTGTGGCCTCTAAATATTACTTTCCACTGAAAGGAATCAGGGCCTGGAACTTTCTGTCACACTAAAAAGCAAAGAAGCTACCAAAACTGCTAGGATTATGTCTAAGACATGAGACAATTTGAAGAGGCTTCCACTGGTTGATGGTGGGACAATCTGAGCATTAGTAAGGGTAATAACTGTAATGGCTTTCAAAAATACATTTAAATTCATTATTTCATAATAAAATTACAAAAATACTCATTGACTATCTTTGGAGGGTGCTTGGAAACTGGTAAATAAGAAGAAAGAATCTACCTCTTGTCCTTTTTCTATGCAAAGTATATATAGTTTGTACAGTATTCAAGCGTGATCAAATAATTGATATGGGGAGGTTTCTCCTTATAAAAGTACTCTAGCTAGTATATGAAGAGAAACTAAAAATGGAGATATCTTTTGATCCAGTGAATCCAGTGATTCCACTGGAAAGTCACATTTCAAGTGCTCAATAGCCACATATATGTGTGGGTTGTGTATGCTGCTGCATTGGACAAACCTTTGACGGTTCCTAAGGATCCTAAAACACCAATTCAAAAGAGCCTATGCACCCCAGTGTTCATGGCAGCATTATTTACAATAGCCAAGTGCTGGAAACAGCTTAAGTGCCCATCAGTAAATGAGTGGATCGAAAAACCGTGGTGCATTTACATGATGGAATACTATGCAGCAGAAAGAAAGAAGGAACTCCTACCTTTAGCAAAGGCATGAACTGGAGAGTATTATAAGTGAAATAAGCCAGGCAGTGAAAGACAAATACCATATGATCTCACCTTTAAGTGGAACTTAATCAACAAAGCAAACACACAAGCAAACTAAAACCAGAGATGTGGAAACACAGAACAAATTGAGTGACCAGAGGGGATGAAGGAGGGGCATATCAGGGGAAAGAAGGGGAAGCAGCAAGTCAAGGAACATGTATAGAGGACACATGGGCACAGAGAGCAGTATGGGGATTGACTCTGGAAGCAGGGATGGGGGGTGGGGCAGTGGGGAGCAACAGGGGAAAATGTGGGACAACTGTAAGTGAACAACAATAAAAAAGAATTAGAACATCAACATTTTGCAATCTTTAATGAATTAAAAATTATTAGTGGCTGCTGTAATATTAAGATACTTTATTTTTATACTATGTTATTGAAACATAGTATTTTAAATTAACAGTACATCTATAGATGGAAAGTCACATTTCAAGTGCTCAATAGCCACATATATGTGTGGGTTGTGTATGCTGCTGCATTGGATAAACCTTTGATGGTTTCTTCAACAAACGACCATAAGGGGAGGAAAAAGAGGGAGGTGGAAATCTCTAGATTAAAAGTGACCGAAGGAACCGCATGCAGCAGTACATTAAAAATATCATATGCCATGATCAAGTGGGATTCATCCTAGGGATGCAAGGATGGTACAATAATCAGTAACATCACATAAACAACAGGAAAGACAAAAATCACATGATCATATCAATAGATTCAGGAAAAGCATTTGATAAGGTACAGCTTCCATTTATTATAAAAACACTCAGCAAAGTGGGAGTAGAAGGAGCATTTCTCAACATAATAAAGGCCATATACGAAAGACCTACAGCCAACATCATACTCAATAGGCAAAAACTAAAAGCTTTCCCACTAAGACCAGGAACAAGACAAGGTTGTCCACTTTTACCACTTCTATTCAACATAGTATTGGAACTCTTAGCCACAGCAATCAGACAAGAAAGAGGAATAAAAGGCACCCAAATTGGAAAGGAGGAAGCAAAACTGTCATTGTTTGCAGATGACATGACAGTGTGCACAGAATACCCTATAGACTTCCACCAAAAAATTACTTAACCTAATAAGTGAATTTGGCAAAGGAGTGGGATACAAAGTCAATATTCAGAAATCAAAGGCATTTTTGTACACCAACAATGAAATAACAGAAACAGAAATCAGAAAAAAATCCCATTTGATATAGCAACAAGAAAAATAAAGTATCTAGGAATAAACCTAACTAAGAAGGTAAAAGACCTGTACTCAGAAAACTACAAAACTCTGAAGAAAGAAATTAAGGAAGACACAAACAAATGGAAGAATGTACCATGTTCATGGATTGGAAGAATTAACATCATCAAGATGTCCATACTATCCAAAGCAATTTATAGATTCAGTGCAATTTCTATTAAAGTACCAATGATATATTTCACAGATATAGAACTAAAATTTCAAAATTTATGTGGAACTATAAACAACCCTGAATATCTGCACCAATTTTGAGAAAGAAGAAAAAAGTAGGAGGGACCACAATACCTGGTATCAAACTGTATTACAAGGCCACTGTAATCAAAACAGCATGGTACTGGCATAAGAACAGACATATAGACCCATAGAACAGAATAGAGAGCCCAGAAATAAATCCAAGTCTCTATGGTCAATTAATATTTGACAAAGGGGCATAAAATGGACAGAAGCATAACAGAAGCATTTATGACAGAAGCATAAAATGGAGTAAAAATAGCCTCTTCAACAAATGGTGTTGGGAGAGCTGGGGAGGTACATGCAAAATAATGAAACTTCATCACCAACTTACACCATACACAAAAATAAATTCAAGGTGGATAAAAGACTTAAATATAAGTTGTGACACCATAAAAGTACTACAAGAGAACATAGGCAAGAAAATCTCTGATATTCCACACAGCAATATTTTCACTGATATGTCCCCTAGAGCAAGGGGCACAAAGGAAAGAATAAACAAATGAGTCTTCATCAAAATGAAAAGTTTCTGTACAGCTGAAAAAAATATCAGCAGAATGAAAAGGGAACCAACCATATGGGAAAATATATTTGCCCATGGTATCTTGAACAAGGGTGTGATCTCCAAATATATAAAGAACTCACAGGACTCCACATTAGAAACACAAATAACCCAATTAAAAAATGGGCAAAGGACCTAAACAGACAATCCTCCAAGAAGGACATACGGAAGGCCCAGAGACATATGAAAGGATGCTCAGCATCATTAGCCATCAGAGAGGTGCAAATTAAAATCACAAAGAGATACCACTTCACACCAGTAGGAATGGTCATCATAAACAAATCAAGAAACAATAAGTGCTGGTGAGGTTCGGAGAAAAGGCATCCCTAGTGCATTGTTGGTGGGAATGCAGACTGGTACAACCACTGTGGAAAACAGTATGGAATTTCCTCAGAAAAGAAAAAATGGAACTGCCTTTTGATCTGGCAATTGTACTACTGGGCTTATACCCTAAGAATCCTGAGACATCAATTCAAAAGGACCTATGCACCTCAATGTTCATAGCAGCACAACTTACAATAGCTAAGTACTGGAAGCAACCTAAGTGCCCATCATTAAATGAGTAGATCAAAAAGTGTGGTACATTTACTGAATGGAATACTATGCAGCAGAAAGAAAGAAGGAGCTCCTACCCTTTGTGACAGC